AATGAGTAAAAAGGAGGATTATTTCTCAAGTCTGGTAGTTACAGGGTTCCTAAGAATCCAGGCTCAGAGCAGAAGGGCACAGATGACTTTTGGCAAGGCTGCCATCTAGTGGCTGGATTCCTTTGTAGCTTTGTGGGCGCGCACATTTCCTGGGACCCTGGAGATGAGCCGCAGATGGGGTAAGCAGGGAGGGCAGCTGTCTACACACAAGGGACCACTCCGTTCTCTAAATCTACTCCCCTAGGGTAAGATGAGATATACACAAAGGGCACCTTACGGAGAAAAGAAGAACATATCTGGGCTGTAACGCAGATGGGTAGATAATATTGATCTAGAAAATCAGTAGGAGTGGATGTTGGGTGCGGAAGCTTCGGGTGGGCATAGGAGTTACAAAGTCAAACTCGTCGGGCCCTTCTTTCATTCTTTTTCTTTATGGCTCAACATGGAGAGAACTGATGGAAGTCCAGTAAAGTCCAGCATCCGATGGGGGGTGCCTTTTCTAATACACTAAATCATTCCCATCTTTGTCTCCATGGTAGTGAGATTTAAAAACCTGCACCTATTACTAGTACCAGCACTTTTGTTTCCCTGTTTCTTGTGTGTGTAAAAAAAACAAAATGTGACCGGTATTCAAATGACCACCTCATACTCCTGGACCACTGTAGGGGTGGGAGCACCTACAGCCCAGAAGCACTGGCTGAGGGGCATCATCACCATGAGACCCCACAGTTTGGCTCATGGGCAGATGCACGGGTCTGGATTCACCATGAATGATGCAGTCTGGGGACACATGACAAATGTACAAGAGCACCAGCTGTCCAAAAGCTGATTTAAAAAATTGTTGAGGACTGCCTACACTTAAAAATAAATTTCCAGAGACAAAATGTAATTTTCAAATTCAACTCTATTAATTCAAAGGACATAATTTCATTGGAATAAAGAAGGGGGTAAAGTGAATTCGAATGGAAACTATAGGAATAACAATTTTACCTTGCATGCCAATAGCCCATTACAGTTTACGAGGACAGACAACATACTCAGGATCTTTGTCTTGACGGACACCACCACGTAGCAGATATGCAGGTATTTCCTTAATTTGACAAATAAGCATGCTAATGCCCTAGGGGGTGTGGGAGTGAGCCCACTTTAGGAGCCAGGATTAAACCCAAGTCTTTCTCTGGAATCCTGAACAAAGGGAGGACATGCTGTGATCAAATAATTAAACAGCTCATCAACAAAATGGTTAATAAACACCACAAAAGGCAAGTAGAAGAGGAAGATTTGGTTAAGGCAAAAAAAAAAAAAAAAGTTTAAGTTATGACCTGTATTTTACTCTGTTTTTAATTTTTAAAGCATTGTATGTATGTGTTTAAAAAATTTCAAACAGTATAGAAAGAACTAAGATGAAGTCTTTCCCCCCACCACTTTCAATTCTGGTAACTCCTCAAAGATAACCATTTTTAATCCCTCCAGAAAAAAAAGTTATGATTTCAAATATTAATGTATACTTAAAAAAAATCAAAGCAAATGAGATCATGCCATAAGCACCATGTTCTTTCCCCCACTTTATAATGTACTTTGATCTTTCCCTATTGGTACATACAAATCTACTTTTCATGGCTGCATACTATTCCACTGGACCAAAATCGCATTATGCAACCAGCTCTGTACTGATACACGCTTAGGTGTTGCCAGTATTTTACAATTATAATAATGCTGCAGCATGTCCACATGTATTGCCATCCTCTTTCAAGTAAATCAGTAATATTAAATGCCAAGGAGATCCTTGGTGGAAGATTATACATATTTCATATGTAGACAGATATTATCAAACTATCCTTGTACATTAACTATAGGTGGGGTCCTGGCTCCCTGTGCCCTTGTTAACACCAGAAATGCCTTTAATGTTTGCTCACTGATGAGAGGATATAGTATACCCAATTCTTGCCATTTTTTATTGTATTATTTTTCTTTTTCTTATTGATTTATATAAACTCTGTGTAAATACGCCTTTTGTTACCTGTATCGCAAAAACTTCCGCTTTTTACAAAGCAAGTTTTTATATTTACGTGATTTTTTTTTCATCTTTTCTTATACGGCTATTGGGTTTGTTCTGACTTGGAAAGGGCCCTCCAAGGCCAAGACTACAAGTTGACTCTGAGGTTTTCTCTTTGCACGTTCATGGTTTCGCCTTTTAAGATTGAACTCTCTCATCCACTTGGAATTTATTTTGATGACAGGAATGAGATCAGGATCCAGCTTTATTTTTTCCTAAAGACCCAATCAGTCATTATTTTCCAATGAATTATCTAGCTTGATATAAAATGCCACTTTTATCCCATTCTATCCTATATATATACTACCTTAGGTGTAACCTGGACTTTCTCCACTGTTCCACTGAATTGCATATCTATTCTCCAGTTCCAAGATGCTTAAACTTAGTCCCTTGATTACTGTGTTTTAGAGATTTTTCTGGTTATTCTGGAATATTTAGTCTTCTAGATCAGGGCTTATCAACAGAGGCACTATTAACATTTTGGGCCGGATAATTCTTTATTGTGGGGGCTGTTCTATGCGTCGTAGGATGTTTAGCAGAATCCCTGACCTCTGCCCACAAGATGTCAACAGCAGCCCCCTAATAATGACAAAAATATCTGTAGACATTGCTGGTTGTTCCTTGGGTTAGGGTGGAGGGCAAAAGGCCCCCATTGAGAACCACTGTTTTGGATAAACACAGTTACCATTTTACCAGTGTTTGCGCTCCCAGTCAATTCCCACTGATATCTTAATTGGGATGAAAATGAATTCATAGAATAATTTAGACAATGTTATTATCGTTAAGATATTATACTTATTAAATTCAATCTTTATTATATTTGACCTTCCTATTCAAGAACGATGTGTATCCTTCTTCTTATTTACGTCTTTTATGTCCTTCAAAAGAGTTTTAAGATTTAAAAAAAAAAAATGTAGGCTAGGGGCACCTGGGTGGCTCAGTCATAAAGCGTCTGCCTTCAGCTCAGGTCGTGATCCCAGGGTCCTGCGATCGAGCCCCACATCAGGCTCCCTGCTCGGCGGGAAGCCTGCTTCTCCCTCTCCCGCTCCCCCTGCTTGTGTTCCCTCTCTTGCTGTGTCTTTCTCTGTCAAATAAATAAATAAAATCTTTTAAAAAAATTTAAAAAAGTAGGCTCTTGTAATATTAAGTTTATTCCTAGGTATTTTACCTTTTACATTCCTTTATAAAGAGGATCATTTCTTGTGTTATTTGTCTCTTCTAACCAGTCATTGATAAGAAAGCTATTTATATTTGAAATTCTATAACCAACAACATGCTAAATTCCTATTGTATCTCATAGATTTGCAGGACATTCTAAGTTTTTTCTAATGATACAATTTTCAGGAAATTCTAAGCATTTTTCTCAAGTACAATGTTATCCTCTGCAGAAAATCATCATTTTGTTTCCTCATTTCTGATATTTCTGTAGCTGGAGATCTTCTGTCTCACTGCCTTGGCTAATACTTGCAGAAAAACTTAGATGGCAGTGGTAATGAGGCAATGTTGAATCATTCTTGACTTTAATGGGAATACTTCCAGGATTTCACCCTTGAGGACAGTTCCAGCTTTGGCTTGAGATACATATATTTTAATCCCACCAGAGAAGTATCCATACATTTATAGTATACCAAAAGTTTGTTTTTATATCTGAAAGATTGCTAATTTTGCCAAACACGTCTTCCATCTCTATGGAGATGACCAATGGTTCTCCTTTGGTCTATTAATGTTGTAAATAGATTATATTCCTGAATTTCTAAATACTAACACATTCTTGGAGAGCATAAATCCAGTTGGTTGTGATCTACACTATTATTCTTTTAATTTCTCGTTGAATTCCACTTGCTAATATTTCGATCCCACATTTTTACCTCAATATTTGAGAGTGAGAGGATTCTGTTATTTTTTTTAGCAGTGTGTTGTTAACTTTTGGAATTAATGTTTAGGCTGGCATGATAAAAAGAAGTTGTACTTTTACTTGTTGTATTTTTTAAAACCAAATGTCTGCATTTAGTACGAAACCAGTCCTTCAAATAGTATAACCATTGTATAGAAATATGAGGCCCTTACATCCCCCCCCAAAAAAAGTCATATATACTCTTTGTAGATTCAACTTTTTGAAAACTGAGTAAATTAAAATACACCTTGGAAAGCTAATCTGGGTTGTGGTATTTTATGCAGAATGCAAAAATCATAAGTATACTACTGTTCAACCTCCATTATACATTAATAATGACATATTTCAGCTGTTTCCCCATCTTAGACAATTTAGCAATGCACGGAGATCTGCATTATAACAGCTGGACCATGGAAATCTCAGCTCTCTTATATATGTGCGCCCAAAGAAAATTAAATACATTTCTGATGCTTCCCGTGCTCTGAACTCAAATATGATGGTGAAAAAACCTTTTTTCTGATACTCAGAAAACCAGGGAAACAGAAAGTTCGCGGGTTCCCGTGGCCACCACCACCTAAGTGACTCAGAGGGTTTTTCCAGTTTTCCAGAGGATCCAGGAAGGATGTCATACACCTAAGTCTTCGAGAGGCCTCCCCGCTTCATTCACTCATCTAACGCACCTCACACCAAGACAGCCCCAGAAGGTACAGTGCCTTTCACACACGTGATGACAGATGGACTGCTGCAGGGACAGAGGGAGCCACAGTCTTCTTCATTACCTGTTGTTTCTTGTCTGTCTCCTCACTAGATGTAACGTCCCCGTGGGCGGGGACATTGTTGCCTAAACCCCCGTCTGGGCCCAGAGTGAGGGCCAGTAACACACATCTGATGAGGGGAGGGATGCAGGAATCATGGAAGGTTTTTCATATCGCCAAGATGAATGGCTTGCTTAGGTTCCTCCTGCCTGAGTCCTTCCCACCTGGGGTCTTCCTGCCTGGGGCCCACCTGGGGCCCCCCCACCTGGGGTCTTCCCACCTGGGTCCTTCCTACCTGGGTTGCTCCTCAGGCGGCTCTCAGCAAGCTCAGAGATGGCTCCAGCTGTCGAAGTCTTTTTCAGTCGAACCACCCCGGAAGCGGCGGTACTTCCTGGTTTGTTGAGCATGTCCTCACTACTGGCCCTCTTGAGCTAAGAGGTAGAGGGAAAGACAGAGGACGAAAACATACATTATCAGTAAGGGGTGCTATAAACCAAGAAAACACTGAGCGGTACCACCTGCCCAGTGGTTAAGATGAAGTAAAGTCACTTGGGCGAGCACGATCATGTGCAGCAGAAAAATGCAAACCCAGACAAACCTGTGTCTATCATATACAGGTCCAAGTATGATCTTCCACTACGGTTTCAAAGAATATTATAAGATTATGAATATTACCCATCATGTCACACTTCAAATAATGAGTTTTTTTTTTTTTAAACCTGCTTTCCTCTTTTTGTTTTTTAAAGATGGGAGCCGATAAAGAAAGAACTGTGAGATGCACAAAAAGCAAGGTAGGGTAATGCACAAAAAATTCAAGGACAACAAAAAACAGCTTAAAAATACGTATCTCAGTTAGAGATGTATGTGTGTATATATGTATACATACATATATATACAAGCACATATATATGGAGGGAGTAGAAGGAAAAGATAGAAATGATCTGAATTTGTACCATGTGCTCCACACCAGGCACTCTGCATATGATCTCACACAGACAACATGTTCAGAGGGAAGAGAGGAACCTTCGGGAGGCCAGAAGAACACCGCTAATGGAGGACAGAAAGAAAGCAGAAGAAACCTCTTCCCTGTCCCCAAATCAGCATAACAAACATTTGTTGAAAGGAATTAAAGTCTAAGAGCGGGGAGCCCCTCAATGAGCTCACAGTTCTGGCTCTGGTAAATTACATTCAGGGTTAATGAGAAACACTGCAAATATATTTTCTCAACCATGGTAAGTCTTCTGGAAAGAATATTTCTGAAGAGGCATAGTACTAGAAGGCTGGAGCCAGGCAGATGCCCGGAGCCATCCCAAAAAGATCTGACATCTGGAGAAAGCAGGATGAAAAAGGAAAATGAGGGGTGGGTTGTAATTTGGGCAAAGCCCTGGTTCCGCCCCTGCAAATGCTAGTCTACCTTTTTCCTTTCCTCCCCATTGTTCTTTCATAAAATTTTTTATTGTGATAAAATATGCATAAAAATTGCCATTTTAAGTGTACAATTTGGTGGCATTAAATACATTCCCATGGTTGTGCAACCATCACCACCATCCACCTCCATAAGTCCGAAGTGAGACTCTCTCTACTCATGAAAGAGTAACTTCCCGTAGCCCACTTTCTAAAAGGGGGAAGATGGCAAAAGTCTTAATATTAGCCCAGAAATTCTGGTCAACGTCTTTAAACAAATTATTCACTTTAAAAACAAATAGCTAATATCAAAACGATGATTTGCATGCACTTCCAGTCCCTAGAAGTGAGCAGAACTGTATTTTCTGGCCAATAGTACAGACCCCTAGTTTAACAACAAGACTAAACAAGGCACTTTGGTCATGGAGAAGTCCCTCGAAGTCACTCAACCGCCCTTCCTACAGGGGCCCCATCACTGTTTCTCTACCTCTTGTCTCAGAGTAACAAGGGTCCCTGCACCCAGTTTGTCCAGCCTCTCAAATTATGTCAGGTCACCAGTGAAATATGTGTTTAGTACTAAATGACAAGAGTTCATGATGCCAGCAACTTTTTCTCAACAGAAAAACAAAAAAACAAATTTATTTGCTCTGCCTACAAGCATGCCCAGATGCCTCCGTGGGTCCCCAGAGAAAATCAGTTCTGATTTTAGATTTTGAAAATTCCGTGCACAACACGTCAAATGTAAAAGGGAAATCCTTGCAGTTAAGGGAAATTTCTAACGCAGCAATGCAAATGATATGCACTTGGTTCTGCTGACCTCTATCTGATTCTCGGACGGAACGAAAATCAGTAAGTCTGACGCGGAGTGTGGAATAATCAAACTCCACAGCAAAAGGCCGGGAGAGCAAAGGTTCGGTCTGCAAACCAGAATGGGAGGAATCCAACAAATGAGAGGGCAACCCCGGCCCTCCCCCCTCCCTCCTCCCACCACTGAAACTGCCTCCTGCAATCCCACCCACAGCTCCCACCCACCTCCAGGCTCCGTCCCCTGGGCGTGGCCCACAGGGGGCGAACTTGCTCCTCCCACTCCCCCGTTTCCCTAAGAGCCCGGTCCTTGGTCCTTGGTCCTTGGTGAGATGACAGGCGGAAGCCACAGAGGACCGGAGTCAGCAAGCAGTGGGAGACTTAGCCTTTCGTGGTCCCACTCTGTGTTATAAAGAAATGTGATCCTGCCCGTTCCAGGCAGAAGGACACCCCAGATGTGTTATGGGCCAGCAGCAGGCTATCTCCTTCCCACGCAGTGTGGGGAGTTTGGGAGGCAGCAAGGCATTTACAGGGGGGCACCTTCCACAAGCAATCCCATCTGAGGACTTATTGCTCAGAAGCTCCCCCAGGAGGCAGCACATACAGACTAAAAGCTGGTCCTTCTTTTCCTCTGCAGCAAACTCCTTCCTCTTTCGCTCTGTTTCGGCGGCGACATCAACGTCAGACACGGAAAGCTACGAGTCTTAGTAATTCTTGGTCTGTCTCTGTTCACGGCTGCGCTTTGGGCTTTGTTTGCTGGTCCCTGAATGCGACTTGGGCACCGCTTGAGGTTTCTGGTTTGTTACAGATGATCACTGGGCAGGTATGCACTTCAGGTGTTACTTTGATATGTTTAATAAGCATTTTCAATAATGCTTTCACTGATATTTAAGCTGCTGAGCACCTGCACATGAAAGCTTACAAAGGGAAAAAGTTTAAATAGCTCACAGATTAATGTAACTAAGAAATTCCTCTGGATTCCACAAAGATGGGGGGGGTTGGAATCTGAAGCTCTCTAAAATCACACGTAACCTAATCCCATCTTCAAAGGTAGAAACCGGGTTATGATTGGAGCAGTGGCTGTCGAACTCGGGGGGTGCATGAGAATCCTTGGAGGGCTTGTTAACATGCAGACTGCTGCCTGCACCCCAGCTTCCAATCTGCCCCCCATGCCAGCCCCAAGTTTCGGATTCCCATGGTCTGGAGCAAGGCCTGAGAATCTGCATTTCTAACTGGTTCCCAGTTGGTGCTGCTGATGCTGCTGCTGACCTGGGAACCACACTCTGAGAACCAATGGTTTAGCACAGCACTGTCGATGGAAATATAACACCAGCCGTGTATGTCTAGTGGCCACATTAACGAAGTGAGAGGGAAGGAAAAATTAACGTTAAGAATATATTTTCTTATGGTGCAGCCACTCTGGACAACAGTATGGAGGTTCCTCAAAAAGTTGAAAATAGAGCTACCGTACGACCCAGCAATTGCACTACTGCGTGTTTACCCCAAAGATACAAATGTGGTGATCCGAAGGGGTACGTGCACCCCAATGTTTATAGCAGCAATGTCCACAGTAGCCAAACTATGGAAAGAGCCAAGATGTCCATCAACAGATGAATGGATAAAGAAGATGTGGTATATATATACAATGGAATATTATGCAGCCATCAAAAAAACCCCAAAATCCTGCCATTTGCAACAACGTGGATGGAACTATTATGCTAAGTGAAATAAGTCAGTCAGAGAAAGACAATTATCATATGATCTCACTGATATGAGGAGTTTGAGAAACAAGACAGACGATCATTGGGGAAGGGAAGGAAAAATGAAACAAGATGAAACCAGAGAAGGAGACAAACTATGAGACTCTTAATCTCAGGAAAAAAACTGAGGGTTGCTGGAGTGGAGGGGGGTGGGAGGGATGGGGTGGCTGGGTGATGGACACTGGGGAGAGTATGTGCTATGGTGAGCGCTGTGAATTGTGTAAGACTGTTGAATCACAGACCTGTACCCTTGAAACAAATAATACATTATGTGGTAATAAAAAATTTTTTAAGATTTTAAATTAAAATTACAAGAGAAAAATATAAATAGTGATTGTAAATATTAAATTTTCAATAAAACATTTAAATAAAAATGTATTTTCTTAACACATTCAAAATATTATTAGTGTAAAATATATTAATGAGGCATTTTACATTTTTTTGGCACTGACTCGTCACAATCGGGTGTGTATTTCACACTTAAGGCACATTTTTTTTTTGAAGATTTTATTTATTTGTTAACAGAGAGAGAGAGAGAGAGAGAGACAGCAAGAGAGGGAACACAAGCAGGGGGAGTGGGAGAGGGAGAAGCAGGCTTCCCGCGGAGCAGGGAGCCCGACACGGGGCTCGATCCCAGGACCCCAGGATCATGACCTGAGCCGAAGGCAGACGCTCAACGACTGAGCCACCTAGGCGCCCTTAAGGCACATATAATTTTGATATTTCAAGGGCTCAGCTGCCACCCGTGACCAGTGGCTAGCGTATCAAGCAGCACAGGTAAGGAGTACTCCTGGAGAATGATTACGTAAGACTGGGTCCCCAAGCCTCATGCAGGACATGCCTAAACTACCCTGCTTTCTGAGGGTGGGGGGCTCTGGCCCCCCCTAGCCACAGGAGATTGGCCAGGGTCAGTGTATGACTCATGCTTAGCCAAGCAGAGACCTTTCCCAGTTTTTTGCTTGTTGTTTGATTTTTTTTTTTTTTAACAAATGAGAAGTAAGCAAAGGCGGTAATTGCAAGTAAGCAAAGCAGCCAGGTCTTCCAAAGGATGTGGGGTGCACGAGGAGGCTGGCAGCCATGCTTTGTAAATACAAGCCGCAGGAGAACAGACGTCAAGAGGCGAAGGAGCAGGGATGAGCAACAGAGAAAGTGTTCTGGCATGTTCTGGTTCCTGGTGCCGGCCTCTCTGAGCTCGTCTTGCACCTCTGTTCTACCCCCAGTGACATGGGAACCTAGGATCTGCGCGATCCACTTCTTTTCTGCTGAAGCTCCTCAAGCCACTGCTTCGCCATTTGCAATGAAGGGGATCCTGACTCGTAGCCGTGGGCCTTATTAATGGCCAGAATGAAGTGGCCTGTCCACATCAGAGCACCCAGGGCTTTCCTTTCCCGCACTGGGCTTGAGCAGCCCACGGAAGACCTACAGCAACATCCTCCGGACCATCTGGGCTCCTCACCCCTCACCCGGTTCTTACACTGCTCCTGCAGCTGTGGCCAGTACTCGAAGTAGGGCATTTCATCTCACTTTGGTGGCTTTGTTTCAGTTTTCCTATTTGTGACTAGCTCAAATATAGCTATCCATCCCATATGTATCCACTTACTATAAAACAAGTATAGTAAAGATGGCAACTGTACCATCCAGGTGGCTGGTGTATGGGTGTCACTGTCATTCAACATCTCCGTGCACTTGCCATTTCCATAGTAAACTATGGAGGGAAACAGATCCTTTACCCGTGGCTACAGGCGGGAAGGGGAGAATGGTCAAAACGCAGAGACACAATGAGGGCTAGAAAGGCATAGGCTTGGTACGGCTCCTTCTGCTACCCCTTCCCTCAAACGCTTTCTCTTTTATAGAGTTAAGTCCTGGAGACCCCAAGCATCAGAGATGACAACATGGATATTTGCTTTTCCCCTGACATTTTCCCCGCGGAACAAGTTTCCAAAAATGTTTACCTATCGGGCAGAAGCAGCCACCATTTCATTGTCCTTAGGAAATCCACCTGAGCTTCAGATCTTTTTTATTAAACACTGCTTTAAAAAAACATTTTGATAGATTCCAGAAGCTCTAATGGTCTGAAGTATATGTATTAATTTAAAATCTATATTAAAAATGTCTCCCTGAGGCGCCCAGGTGGCTCAGTATGTTAAGCGTCTGCCTTTGGCTCAGGTCATGGTCCCAGGGTCCTGGCATCGAGTCCCGCGTCGGGCTCCCTGCTCAGCAGGGAGTCTGCTTCTTCTCCCTCTCCCTCTGCTGCTCCCCCCTGCTTGTGCTCGCTCTCAAATAAATAAATAAAATCTTTAAAAAAAAAAAGTCTCCCAAATATGCTATGGGTCAAAGATAATAAAAATAAAAACCATGGAAATAATGGGCAAGTCCAGGGTAATAGAATGATAAACAAAATTATGTGTAGGACATTTTGTCCGCATTTACTCCCCACGGCAAATAAGGTATTATCTTCATCTCAGAACTCAGGACAACGACGTAGCTTGCCTGAGGTTTCACAGCTAGAAAGTGGTCGAGGCAGGACCCCAACTCAGCCTGGTCTGACCCACCCCAAGACCATGCTCTTCCTTATTCAAGCATTCCATCATACTACCACTCCCAGAAGAGCTGGCATCCTTGGGCATTTCATAAATACGGAGTGCCCGCCAGGGAACAGGTGCTTTCCTAAGCGTGAGGGGCAGAGCTGTGCAAGAAACAAAAGAGCACACAGTCCCTGCCCTCATGGGGCTCCTGTTCTATTCGTTGTGAGACAGACGCTGCCCAAGCAGGTGTGTGCAATGGGAGTAAGAGCTAAGAAGGAAGATGAAGCAGGGCAAGGAGGGTGTACGGGGGCCCAAGGGGCACCTTCCGGTGAGTGCTCAGGGGTGGTATCTGATAAGGTGACATTTGAGCATAGACTTAAAGAAGAACTGGCAGAGGTGCAGGGCTGGGGGCAGGGGGAGGAATGCTCCAGGCAGAGGAGCGGCAAACAGGCTGCTGCAGGGGTGCATATAGCTCATGGAGGGGCAGTGCCACTGGGCACCAGGAGAGCATGTGGCTGGAGCCCGGGAGGAGGGAGGTAGAGCAGAGGGGAGGGCAAGGACATCTGAGAGGGAATGGGATCTCCAGGGCATCACTGGCTATATCAAGGATTTTGCTTTTCAGCCCGAGTGAAATGGGGAGCCCCAAGACGCGATGGGACGTAAGTGTTGAAAGGACCACTCTGGTTTCCGATGAGAACGGACTGTGGGGTGCAAAGACAAAAGCACAGGGATGGTTCAGGTAGGCCGTGCAAGGAAGGGGTGGCATGAGCCAGGGGGTCCCAAGGGAGGCAGAGGCAGTTGGCTTGACGTCGATCTTGAAGGCAGAAGGGATGGCATTTTGCTGATGGCCTGTGGCATGTGAGGAAAGCAGGGCCCCAGATGCGGAATGGCCTGAACCACTAAGAGGGTGAAGTTGCTCAAAGGGCAAGATTCACGGGGGCGCGGGAGGTGGAGGGGAAGGAGTCTGCTTTGGACATGTTACATTCTAGGTGCCTTTTACTTACTTTTATTTTTTTTTAAAGATTTATTTATTAATTTTAGAAAGAGAGAGAGAAAGAGAGAGCAATAGCATGCATAAAGGAGAGAGAAGCTCAAGCAGATTCTATGCTGAGCAAAGAGCCTGACACGGGACTCGATCTCACGACCCCGAGCTCATGACCTGAGCTGAAACCAAGAGTCGGACCTGTAACCGACTGAGCCACCCAGGCGCCCCTGTAGGTGCCTTTTAGACATCTAAGTGGTGATGTCACAAAAACAGCTGGAGGGCTCCTGGATGGAGATGCAAATTCGTATGTCATCCACATGTACAGTCGACCCTTGAACAGCACAGGGGTTAGGGGTCAAAAATGCAGTCAAAAATCATGAATGACTATTGACTCACCCAAAACTTTATTCATAGCCTACTATTGACCAGAAGGCTTACGGGTAATATACACAGTCGATTAACACCTAGTTTGTATGTGATCCCCGTATTACATACCGTATTCTTATAGTAAAGTAAGCTAGAGACAAGAAAATGTTAAGAAAATACACTTACAGTACTGTTCATAGAAAACATGCAGTTCAAACCCATGTTCAAGTGTCAACTGTAGTATTAAAATTCACGAGAACAGACACTAACGCCTAGAACAACTGTTCTCAACGCGGCCAGTGCTGACCCTCACTCAGGGAGCATGTTGGAAATTTGGGGGGGGGCATGTTTAGTCAGCCCCCTGATTGGAGGTGCTACTTGTATTTAATGGGTGGGAAGATGGGGAACCCAGACAGCCTACAACACACGTGGCAATCTTGCACACAATGTTGTCCCATATCCCACAGAACTCTCACACGTTCTGCAGACATTCACAGAGGGGGAGCACCTTTTTGTCATTATCTGAGCCTTGAGCATCCCTTGGTTTTACATGGAAAAACAACGTACTTCCTACACAGCTGCCCCATCCATGATGCTCCAAGGAGCACCTTAGGTCTGTCAGCAGTCACGCTCAAGCACATGCAGAGGCAGATACAGGTTATTTAATTAAACACGAATTGCCTCTTCTTTTTCTTTTATAGTTAGGATGTTATATTGATTTTTTAAGAGTACGTGTGTAGGTGGGTTATACGATCTCTGAATCTCCTCTCAGGATAGTAAGGGAGGCTTTGGGGGTGACACAGCAGCTAGAAACGAGGTGAGACCCCCCCAAACTGCACCCTGGGCCCACCTGACATTAGAAACCCAGAGGATGAACAGGAGCCAGCAATGGAGACCCCGAGGTGCCGCCAGGGAAGGAGGAGACAACGGAGAGAAGGTACTCCCAGACGGAGGGCATCATCAATCATGTTAACGCTACTGACGGGCAAGGAGGACGAGATGGAGCATTGACAACTCCATGATCAGGACTGGGGAGATCACTGGTGATCTTGACCCCCATCTGCTAGGGTGCTGGGGCAAAACTCTAAAGGGAGAGTCTACGTCATTCAGGGCAGGGGAATCTAATTTCTCTGTTAAACATGTTGCACATTTCCTTTCTCAGGCCCAGAGCACCCCTGCTCCCCGCCTTTGCTCTCTTCCTTTGGGTCAGGATGGGCTGGTTCTCCTGGGACCCTCCAGGGAGCCTCCTTCCTGACCTTGACCTGACCTTGACCTTGCTAGTCTTGCTTACTGCCCTCTTCAGTCCTCCCACCCGGGGCTCCCGGGGGCACCCAGCACATGGGTGCTGGGTGTCTCGGTCTGTACCTTGCTGAGCCGGGACTCAAAAGCCAGCGAGGTGGAAGATTTCGAACTCTTCATGCCTGAAGGGGCCGCAGGGAGGGGCCGTGCACGGTCTGTCCCATGGCTGCCCGCTTTGATGACCGGATTCCAGGGTTTGGCTGCACTCCTCATGTTTGTCCTAGTGAGTCCGTCTTTCTGCACAAGACCGAAAAGAGAAACGTGTGTCCACAGCTTGAACATGCTGAGCAACATCACAGAGCTCTCCCCCCATCTCCACGTTCCCACGGTTATCACAGAGATCGAAGGTTTCTCTTTGGCCTGCTCGGTGAGTATTCTCTGGAGCTGACACCTTCGCGTGAAGGCTACTTTGTACAATTCATGTAGGCTTTTACCAAACTAGTGAAACTTACCTGCGATATAATTGATGCTCTGACATTACTTTTCAGCCAAATGTCGGCTCCTTCTTGTTCAGGGTATTACTGTATTAGTATATGGTATAATACATACCATTATTATGCTCTGCTATTATACTATATGGCCATAGGCTAAATACATATCCCCCTAAAACAGGGCAGCTTGAGTCAAGACATTCTGTGTCCATAAGCCTTGCAGCTTCGGGGTTGACAAGGGCACAACCTACCTAATTTTCAAATGGATCTAAATGAATTACTTGAAAATTGGATTTCACGGAAGCATAGCTTTTTCCTTCTTTCAAGTAAAAATGGGTATCATTTAAAAATGAATGGAGCATATTTTAATTGGCCGGACCTGACATTGTATGGCAGAGTTACCCCCCCGGCCCCGCCCCAACTAAACTGTTTTATGAAAGAAGTCTGTGCTAAGGAGCAAGCTGCAGTTAAAGGTCAGAGGGGAGAGCCTGCAGACAGAGGTGTGGAAGGCAGCCTGAGGCTTGCCATCAGCAGTCAGGGTTCTCATTCCTGAGTGAGGAGTGGCCTGCCCTCTCCCGACCTCTCCGAGCCTGTTTTCTTCTATCAGTAACACAACAACACAGGAGTAAATGCTCTCTAGGGGCTCATTCAGCTCCAGCCCTGCCCCTGCCATTGTGTATTCCAATGACCAAGGGTGTGGCACAGAATACTAAAACCCCAGGTAATGCCGCATCCCTTCAAAGAAACAAACCAGAAAAATGCACTTTTAAAAAAACACCCAGTAGGTGACAGACAGCTAATTCCAGGGGCCACGCTCATAGAACCTGGAGGTCTAATGAACTGTCCCCGAGGGAGGGATCCTAGCTGGTGCCAAGCAGCTCTGGGCCCCCTCTCCAGAGCCTCCCCGCATCCGGGTAGATGGCACCAGCCACCTATCCGAAAAACAAGAGGCCGCCTCCTCAGCCTAGCTCAGGCTGTGACCTCTTCTGTTCCTGTCTGGAAGACACCAATCCCGACTGACCGTGCTTCTCAGCCAGGACCAGCCAGCTCCTATTCCTGCTTCCAGTGATTCACTGGCGGTGACACCTGTCCAAGAATCCACCTGCAGCTATGGGGACGTGGCTACAGGTGAAGATATGTATATGAAGACTTTGCCGTGTGTTTTCGCCAGTGTTTCTGAAAAAGTATCTCCATGATTTCAGTTCTATGATTTAGTGCTGAACCTGATTAGCCTCAGCTTGGTGCCGGATATCGTGATGACTTTTTTTTTTAAAGATTTTATTTTATTTATTTGACAGAGAGAGACACAGCGAGAGAGGGAACACAAGCAGGGGGAAGTGAGAGAGGGAGAAGCAGGCTTCCCCCGGGCAGGGAACCCGGTTCGGGGCTCGGATCCCAGGACCCTGGGACCATGACCTGAGCCGAAGGGAGGTGCCCAACGACTGAGCCACCCAGGGGCCCCGCTGATTTTTTTTTTTTTAATTCCGTGGTACTTCTTGTGTATTTTACTGAGGTTTAGCACCAATTATTTTTCTTTTCTTTCTTGACCTGCGATGCTTAATGCTGGTTTCCATGGCAACAACGAGAGCATTCCTAGATTGGCAACTACACAGTAACTCATCTTATTGGGACTCCTAACAGAAATGAGCCGACATGGCCTGAGCAATTCTTGAAGAGCATGACTGATTACTTTTACCAGTTACTACAGAATCAGCCCGGAACACGTCAGTCTGTCTTTATGAAGATGACGCAAATAAAATATGTTTAATCAAGGCATCCCTATACGTTATGATTATAACTGGTTCGAAATGACTATCACAGGCCTTACTTTATGAAAACATAAGGTGATTCTGCCCAAGACCAAGGTGATTCTCGGTCAAAACTCAAGATCTAAACTCCTCTCTTAACCTCTGGCAACAAGTCTGGCCAACAAATCTTCTGGGTAGTGCACCTGGAAAATGTTCAGCCCTTTTTCAAAGACTGATGAGTTACTTGCCCTGAGGCAAAAGTCTCAGGGTTACTTCACTTGCATCATTCCCCCTTTCTTTATTCCTCCTAGAAACTTCTGAACCCAGTCAAATTATTACCAGAGAGCGTGTCTCATCTGGACCCCTCCTGTTTGCCGTGCTAGCCCTTTCTTGGCTCCCTCCACTCTTCTTTTCCTATCATTTTTCCCAGACCAAGCCTTCTATTTTGGACCCATCACCCAGCCAGAGTCTTCCCTTCAAATGCCACCTTCTTTCCAAATTTGAAATACACAGAAATGAGATAATTAATGTCCCACTCATGTGCACCCAGAAGAGAACCCTATAGGTAGGTAGGGATGGGACGCCTGGAGCAGTATCGGGCTCCGCAGGATCAGTGCAGCTTCCCAGGGGTGGGTGAGAGGATGAGAGCTGGTGTGTGAGGAAAACACTCCAGTCAGACCCAGCGCTAGCTTTGCGCCCTGCTCTCCCTTCTCATGGCTTAGGACATTACTAAACTTCGCCCCAGCCCTCACCTCCAGCCTGGGCCAGTGCCTTGCCGGTGTTCTCCAAGTTGTCTGGAGACTGACTCTTTTCCCTTGCTCTGCCCATACCCGGCTCTGGGCTCTTCTGGAACAGACCGGAAAGGTTTACGCGCAGAGCTGTCCATCGGCAGTGCTTGGCTGGCTTTGGCCCAGCCCTCTACCCACTTCCAGGAAGTCCTCCGGCCGGAAGGGGAGCTGGTGCCCATAGGCTCCACTCCCAGATTGCTGCAGACTTTCATGCACCCCACTTCTGACACAGGGAACCAGATCATTACAGTGTGTGAGAGCAACTACGCTATGCTCCTCTGCGCCTGGCAAGGCCCTGCTAAGAGCTCCTCATGGGTAAATCCTCACCATAACCCTAGAAGGTAAGTAAGTATCACCTCCACTTTACTGATGGGGAAACTTTGGCTCAGGAGGGATAAGCGACTTGCCCAAATCACAGAGTTTATGATGGAGCTAGGATTCAAGCCCAGCTGTCATTGGCCCTTACACACCAGGGATGGATAAGGCCTCTGTGAATTGTCTTTGCTCCCCTGGGAGAGCAGGAAGGCTTTTGGATCCAACGCTCCTGCTCCAAACGCAGCATCACTGTTTGCTGTGTGAACTCGGGCATGCTTTTCCAACATCATGATTCTCAACATCTTCACCCAATAAAGTGGAGTTATCAGTGCAGATGGAAAGAAAACATGGATACTGAGGGCCAGGCACATAAAAGGCACTCAACCAATATTAGCTACCTTTCCTACAAACACTGTTCATTGTGTTCACTGGAGGGCTGCTCTGCTTCATAATCTCAACAATACACAGCAGCGGACCCATTAGACCAATTTCAGTGGCAGGAGCCAGACATACCCGATTGAAGGAAAGGGCTCCTTCTGTAAACAGAGCAGCGTATTTTCTTGCGGAAACATGAAAGAAGGGGAGTAGAGAGGAAAATAAACACTGAGAGCCGACACATTCCCATCCTGAGAATCGGCCCCAACCTTAATACAGCCTAGCCACTGAGGACACAGGTGTGAATACTGGGTGAATAATAATTTCCTTGTGGATGTGAGTTAGTAACAGAAAATAAATAGATGGGCTCTGGCCAAGTACAAGAAATTAAAAAAAAAAGATTTGTATTGTTAATTCCTTGATTTCTGCAAATCCTCCTAAACCATCTCAAAGGATCAAGCTGATGAAGGAATTACAACCAGATCCAGGAACCCACCCCCCCCCTACGGGCGGGAAGAGGGCCTTCCCAGGGGTATCTTTTTAAAATTTTCCAAACATTTTTTTTTAATTTCTTAAGTTTTTTTATTGAGGTATATTTGACACAGTGTTACATTAGTTTCAGGTGTACAGCAGAGCGATTTGACAACTCTATACACTTATGCAAGTGTAGCTACCATCTGTTTCATTAAATTACCATTAATAAATTATTATTAAACATTATCAAAATACCACTGACTATATTCTTTTTTTTATTATTATGTTATGTTAATCACCATACATTACATCATTAGTTTTTGATGCAGTGTTCCATGATTCATTGTTTGCGTATAACACCCAGTGCTCCATGCAGAACGTGCCCTACCCAATACCCATCACCAGGCCAACCCATCCTCCCACCTCTCTCCCCTCTAGAACCCTCAGTTTGTTTTTCAGTGTTCATCGTCTCTCATGGTTCGTCTCCCCCTCCGATTTCCCCCCCTTCATTCTTCCCCTCCCGCTTTCTTTTTTTACTTTTTTTTTTTTAACATATATTGGTATTATTTGTTTCAGAGGTACAGATCTGTAATTCAACAGTCTTGCACAATTCACAGTGCTCACCATAGCACATACCCTCCCCAATGTCTATCACCCAGCCACCCCATCCCTCCCACGCCCCACCACTCCAGCAACCCTCAGTTTGTTTCCTGAGATTAAGAATTCCTTATATCAGTGAGGTCATATGATACATGTCTTTCTCTGATTGACTTATTTCACTCAGCATAACACCCTCCAGTTCCATCCACATCGTTGCAAATGTCAAGATATATTCAGAGCACTAAATGAGAAAAATATGCAGCCAAGAATATCCAGCTAGGCTGTCATTGTAAATAGAAGGAGAGATAAAAAGCTTCCAGAACAAACAAAAACTAAAGGAATTTGCAAACACAAAACCAGCCCAACAAGAAATATAGAAAGGGGTCCTCTAGGCAAAGAGAGAGCCTAAAAGCAACATAGACCAGAAGGGAACACAGACAATATACAGTAACAGTCACCTTACAGGCAATACAATGGCACTAAATTCATATCTTTCAACAGTTACC